CTGAACGCCAATACCCTAATGGAGAAGAAGGAGACTTCTATTAAGGTACCAGAAATATAGGAAATTACAAAGAGGTTCTATAAATTCCTAAAATACTACTACAAATATGGCTAAGAACAATAAGAAGCTAGACTCTTACATGAGTTTGTAACAGTATATATTCATCATGTAACACTATGTATGAAGACTACTTGATGTAGAATAAGTTGGTGGTTGGAATGATAAGTAGCTTTTGGTAAATTACTGAGAATAATGTATCTTCTTGTATATGGAAATAAGTTATTTCGTCCAACCACTAAAATCGTGACATGTGTATCATTTAATCATTTTCTACAAAAAATATTTCTAAAACTAAACAAAACAATACACATGTCATTTTTTTACTGACTGAATGATGTATGTTATCTCCTAGTATGATGAAATACATTATTCTCTTTATTTAATTATGCTTTGATTAATATATTATATAATTTAAGTTTTAAACATGTTTTTATCTTTAAATTTGAATAATCCAAAACTTTACTTATCACAACTGCATGAATTAAATTTGAATACAATGTTGTTTGTTAGTAGATGGGCTATTACGTAATTCTATTTGATATTTTTGCTGATTTTGATGAGTGAAAAGGCCCAGTGGCACTTACTGGGCCCACGAAACTGGGGTATCCACCATAGGCCCAATGTTGTGATGTATTACTTCTTTTTCTCTGAATCTATAGGTACATTCCTATCCAAACTTGATTTTTGTGAGCGACATTTGTTGAGAGAATAATCACATATCTTGACATGGATTAGTTCCTTATCCATAGAATGAATACCCTTAGTAGTACCCCAAAAAATTATGTCATGTGAATCAATGCAACCCTTTTCGGATTTGATTTTTGCTCTTTCCTTCTATCATGTCTTCTGTTCATAATTAATAATTCAATTTATCTTCTTCTCTATGCCATAATTTTAAGTTGAGTTTACTATTGTCTTGCAATTTCAAAATAGCAAAATAAAAATGCAATTGATATTTGTTTAATGTGAATTAAAATCATATCATGATTTCAGAATCTGAAATAATCATAATTGTAAACTTTATACTCCAAATATCAAGTCTCACACATAAATGTTACTTAATAAGTATCATGTGGATATAATTAAACCAAATTATTTTTCCCATTAATTGGACAATGGACATTTTGGTACATGTATATGATCTTTATTGATGTCAACAAGATATAATTGTCATATGAGTATCACATGTCTCAATTCATATCTCAATATGTATATCAACACAATCAGAATGCTCTATTCAATTAAAAGGAAAAATAACAAAATTAGAAATTAATATTTTAATATTATTTTGTGAGTTTGATTGATTAAGGACATGGGGACAGAAAATTTTTGGGACAAAAGATTCTTCTCTATAATTGTCACATAAAATGGATGGATGAAATTAATTAGAAGAGAACAATGGAAATTTTGTGTTTGTTTTGGAATTCTATGATTCATGGCTTCCCTTCAATCTTGCCACACGTTCACTGGCTAATGAAGTTAGGTGAGTTTAACGATTAACTAAAAGCATTCAATAAGCTTTTTTATGAACAAGCTAATACAGCTTAAACTGTTAAATAAGCTTATGAAAATAAGTTGGTGTAAGGAAATAAATTATCTATAAATTACTCCAAACATTTCTATTACAATAGTTGTATTATATGACATCCTATTTAGTTGAGTAAAATTGTAATTCACGCAGCTAGAATTATTAATCGATTAAGGATATGTTTAATTGATTAACTAAACAGTTAGTTTAGTTGTATAAAAATATTATATTTAAAAGTTGTTAATATAATAGATAAAGAAAATTCTACTTTATTGTTGTCTCTTACAATAAACTCTATAATGGTTTAAAACACTATTTCTTTCTCCTTCTTCCAACATATCTAATGTTAAAATGTTCATTCATATTTCTTATTTATATACAAGTTTCCCTAAAATAAATATAGAAAAGAAGAAAAATGTATGCACAAATAATGAATATGTTCAATTTTTAAATATAAGTAATACTAATAAATAATGAATTGTCTATAAATACACATTAATGTTATATAGAAGTTAGACTCATAAAATAAAATGGGTGATTGTATTGGTGTGAAAATAACATTTTTCTTATTACATAGTCTAAGTTTTAGTATAAACTTTAAAGTATAACAAAACAATATCTTACAAACCAATGATACAGTGATCTAGTAGTGTAAAGTTTTATTGGATTCCTAAATACACTAAAAAGGTCAAATATTTGATTTCTGAAAACAACACTTGTTGGAACTTGGAAGTGAAAGTCACACATACTAATAGAATTAGTTCTTTACCTATAGGGTAGGTATAGCAGAGCACAAATTGTCTATGTCACTTTTCTATACCATTTTTATATGCCACCAATTACAAACTCACACTTATGTTTTGTTAACTTTTGATTAGTTATTATAGTGTAACTTTAATTGACGTGTTAATTTGTAACTGGTGACACATAAAAGTGACATAGACAACTTGTGCTCGGTATAACATTGGTTAAACAAAAACTTACGAACCAGAATGCATGTGCAAAAGACCAAGCAGAAACCAACAAGAACATCAGAGTATAAATCTGCAATGAGAAGGTTAACAAGGAAATTCCAAACACACAAACTATGCTAAATATTGCACTACATCAGAGTATGGTGATTTATAGCACTACTTTTTATTATAATATATTTGTCTTACAGAACTATTCTCTATAATATTCTTAGTATGGAAAATCTGCATTTTGCAGCTTTATTTCATTCAATTTTTGACCGTGTTTGTTTCAGGATTGGTTCTCTTTCAGCTATTATGCTTTTGCATGTGCCTTTGTCCGTGACTTTATTGTTTATGCAAAATAAGAAGGAATAAATATTATTATAATATTACACTAAGTAATGTAAAAAATATTATTTTATATTTTTTTTTTAATTTTCATTTTAATTGGGTGACAGATTTTAATTAGGTTGGTATATATTTGAGATACAAAAAATGAGACAAATAATCTCAATTCCCTTATGATGTTTCATTATTTTAGTGCTTCTCTTCATGTAAATTTGTCTCTCTTTTTGATGTTTTTTCTCCTCCATGAATCATGTTTCTAGGTCTTTGATTTTTTATAACTATTTTAGATTTCATCAATTCTTTGAAATCAATGTGTAAGGAGTTAGTATCCTCTCCATTAATAGAGAGATAGATGCTTAAAAAATCAAATGAAAATGTAATATTCAATGACACATATATTCATTTGATTACAATGAAATTACACTTTTACTGTTAAATATAAATGGAAAACATGCATTTGTCTCTCTATTAATATGGAGGATCCTAATTCTTGGGTAAGTGCAATTACTGCATTAGACTTATGTAATTTGGTTTGAAGAATATAGTTTCAAGATTTGTAGAAATTTTCTCTCTACAATTTAATTGGTTGAATTAAGTTTTAGTCTTCCAAAGATATATGGGATTTCTTTTCTATTTTAGTCCCTAATTGAATTTTTATCTTAGATCTTAAGATGTTAAATCATTTGGTTTTAGTCTCTTTATCGATTAAGTGATGATTAAGTGTCAATGCTACCATCGACCAAGTTATCAATTAGTACGATATGCAATCGTTAATGAGTGGTAAAGGTGAAAAACTTAAGGAGTGAAGTGGTAAGGAGGTTGATGATTCAAATCCGACTCACCACAAAATACTAACAATCTAACATTTGCCAATAAAAAATCGTTAATGATATCGATAAGTTATCATTTAAGCACTATATTAACTAAAACAAATAATAGTTTCAATTTTTAAGAATTCATACCAAAACTTTTTGTGTGGATACTAAATCAAAAAGGAACTATTTGAATTGCAATAAAAACTCAATCTAGCTTATTTAATTCAAAAATTGCAGTGTCTAATTTTTGAAGTTCATGTGTCATTTAAATTTCACACAATAGACCACAATGTTACTGAATAATGATAATCCAGAGAGATAAGTCAAAGTAACAAGCTAATTAAGAAAATTGTAATGCTAATTTAGCTCTCTAGGGTTATAAAAAAGAGAGATATTTCAGCTGTTGATTTGAAATGCTTGCTAAAGTTGGTTCAATGAAAAAGAGTGGGAATAAAGGAAGAAAAAACAAGAAGACAAACATGTACATAAGTGTTCCCTAAAGGGTCTTCTTATTAATACTTAAATACTTTATTTAACCCTTACACAATGTAATATAGTATACTAAAATGAGAAAAGGAAAATGAAACAAAAACAAAGTGCAAAAGAAAAGTACAAGAGAGTGAGATATCATGTTATTTAAACAAGTTCAATTGTGGGGTCCCTTAGAGAGGGAATAGGAATCTAAATGGATCCAAACACTTGAAGACAAATATTTTTGTAAAGAGAAAAATTGCATGCCCTTTATGCAATAGATAAAAGTAATTCAACACTGAAACATGGCTAGAGCCATCATAGCCTATAGTGAAACAAGACAAAGCTCTCATTGTCTATCTATATATCTTCACCTTCTTCTTACATACCCTTATTTATTTAACCCTAGAGTCTTCAAAGTGATTCTAACCTTCATGGGAAAAAAACAAGGTTGATTCATGTAGAGTTATTTATAAAGCTATCTTTGCTTCTTGCCAAATATCTAAACTCAAAAGTTTCTTGGTTGTTTCCCAAGTAAATTTGAGAGCTTTGTATTCCTTCATGTGCTTTATATATGTTACTCAATTGCTCTTATGTGCTACTTACATATCAATCTATGCCTCAGCTTCATCAACTATAAACTCAACAAATTTGGTTAGTTCTATATATCTTATTACCATATTTCATGTTGGATGAAGAAATAAAACTAAGGATGCATTTAATTTTTTGTATAATAGCATATATTATTATTATTATTATTATTATTATTATTATTATTATTATTATAATTATTATTATTATTATTATTATTATTATTATTACTAAGTGTGCCTGGCTCCCTGTATGCCATTTGTCGAGGTCATGAATATAATTGATGGCCTTAATGAATGGCGTACCAGGAGCCATGCATGCCGTTTATAGTTTATAAAATGCAAAAGTGATTTCTATCTTCTACTTATTAATATAGTTTATAATTTTTTCTTAATTTATGTTCCTATCTCCTTTGGTGTATTTTTTGTTTATATTCATCTTTCTTTGGACCGAAAGGAAGGGTTTGAGGGTCTCCTAATGAGTAAATGTCATTGACTTGGCTTGATACTTGACACATAAGCTTTAATTAAGGGGAAATTTTGTTTTAATAGTTGCCTTCCTTTCTTATCAATAGGTTAATTGAAATCTATTAACAACCACTAAGATTAGCTAGAGTTGCTTTATTTTAGCTTAATTAAATGTCTCCAAATTAATCGATTATTTCTTAGAAATGCAACTATATTAAGAACTTATTAAAAAGTATTTTGTGAGCTTTTCCTTGAATGACACTCTTAGGTGTAAGAATACTATTGCATGGTTTATACCAAAAGAGATTAATTGATATAAGTTATCTCTATCCCATATGGTATTTTTGGTTAATGATAATGAAGCAAAAATAATAATATTAATAAATGTTTAAAATTTTAATGAACATAACAAGTTTTCATTAATACGGAATGCAGAACAAAATATGGAATATCAGATGTTTTGTCCTTGTAAAGTAAAGATCATTGTCACCATAATGTTGACTATCCACCAATCCTTTTCATTGTTGTGTTGTCATTTTTGTTGTTATTGATTAGTTAAACATCTTGTCTTCATTAACATTGGTTAATATTCAATTTTTAGCTAATACAATTGTTTTTTATTTTACCATTATGGATTGGTCGGGGAAAAAATAGTAGCATAGTCAAAGTGCTTATTAACCAAAGTTGCATCTCATGAGAGTTGAATATGCATGTATCAAGCTTAGCCAACTATAAAATTTATTTATTTTAAGCAAAATAATCATCTCACCTTTTTTTCAATATAATTATTCATATTTAATCACTTTATACTTATTCATCATTTACTCGTTGTTATTTGTGAAGCAAAAGTTTCTTGATCAATGGATAAAAAATAAGTGTAAAAAGGGATATGAAGAAAAATTTATAGTAGGGATATTATTGCTCATTTATTTAACATTATTAGTCTTTTTTCATATTTTGTTAACATTTGGCCATTGCAGTCAAACTCTTAAAAACTTGACTAATGTCATTTTTTTCTTGCATTGTGCACTAGAAACTATGTGTCTTAATCTTTGCATGAGTAATGCTGTTTATATGATTATTGCAACAAATACATATATAAATGTCTAGTATAAAGTTTGTTCCTTCAAGCCATATATGTGTCATAACATAAAAAGAACAAAAATATAGCATTATTTGTCAATGACTTACTATGAACTTTTTATGAAAAATATCTTTAATATAGACTTTAATAATGGTGGTGGAAGACTTTTATATATACTAAATATACATAATACATACAAAAGATGATGAACAATATTATCATCATATATAGCCAAAATCTTTCATGTCAAATCATCAAAAATAAAGGTATAAAACTAGAACTTATCGGAAGCGTACCGTGATATATTCATATAGAATATGGTGAATGAACTTTATATTATTCTTCTTTGTCATGTATCCACCAACTCATTCATAGTAGAACATGTAAATTCTTTGACCTTCCAATTGTAGATCACCATTAGCTTTTAGTTTCTCATCTAATGGGATGAAGAGAATAACTTGGTTTTGTTCATGTTTGGATGTGACACCTTGTGTCATGTTGTGGTTTATAATTGGGGACCATAACCCCTATTTATAAGAAGTGCATACCCTTCCATGAAGGGTGATGTCACTTGATTTTCATATTTCCGATTTTGCCTATCATAAAATAGAAATAAGACTTTAGGTATATACACAATAATTTTCATAATAATTATGTCTATAATCATGAACCTTACTTGAAGTAGATCACTTTAATTTGACTACTTATAATAATAAACATAAACACATCTAAACATTATGTGTGACCTAAAATTTCTTACAATTTTGAATTGATGATAGTGTGTTTTCTAGGACATGTTTTTCCTTATGACAAAACTTAGGTGTATCATAATTAAGTGTTTGTAGTGCTGCTATATGACACGTTATATTTTTATTTGAAAACAAACTACAAATACAAGGATTCAGCACGTTATGTACTATTGTGGAAACTAAAAAACTATTGCTGCGGTTCACAAATAGCTTCTATAGTCCTTGTACTAATACAAGGATTCACCACATTATATACTGTTTTTGCAAACACCCAAGCAGGGAAAGTGACCACTATTTTGTACTATGTTTATGTGTCTACAATTGGTTGAACATAGGCATTTCCTTCCCAACTCCTACACTATTTTACTACTCACATGGGTATGATATAGAACAATAGTTATTCGAAATCTTGGAGTATCATTTGGTTAACTATAACTTGGATTATTTGGCTATCTAGGAACGATTTTATCTTTAACAATGTCCGATATTCACTTCAATTTTTTTGAATCTGCTAGAATCAAATCATAGCTTTGAATCAAGGATCGGATGGGCAAAAATTCTTTTACTTATTCCGAGTGGGTCTCTAACCCAATTGGCTTTGGAAATTAAGAACATATTTGATAACACCAGCTTATGTCTTCAGTGAGGAGATTATGTTTAATAACTTATTTTAATAGTCTTGTTAGAGTTGTTTCACTAGCTAGCAATAATTAATTCTTGGATTATATTGTCTTTAATCTTTTTCTCTAATGATAAGTTACATTAGTGTAAAATTATATACCTTCTGAATTAGTTAATGAATTTCAGGTATTTGTTTAACTAATTTATCAAATAGCTCCAATCCAATCAACTAGTATACGCCTATATTCTTTAGCTACAATCTCACATTTTTTTATATACTTTACAACTACAAACCACAATAATATCGCATATAAACTAATTTGGAATAAGCTATGTGTGAAACAAGTAGGAACGACAACGGGCGGGTCGGGTTTGTGCTTACCCAAACCCGAAATCCAAAACACGAATCTGAACCAAGCCGGGTTGAAAACAATAATATCATTTTGAACCCGATGAAAATTCGTCCGAAACATATATTTATATATATATATATGTCAAATTTATATATATATAGTTTTGATATATGTATTTATTTGTAATTTTATAATTATACATATATTAATCTGATGTTTATATACCCACGAGTTCGGTTTTCATTGTTATCCTTTCAAACAAGTGTTAATCTTATACTCTGATAAAACAATCTTAGTCTATCATGTGTTTCATACTAACTTAAGTCTCATTTCTCATGGAAGTGGCAATGTGAAAGTGCAATTCCTTAGTTCAACCAAAAAAAGAGAAGAGTGAAGTAACAAAAAAATATAGTGAAAATCATTTATTTCAAACTCCAAATCATCTATCAATATTCAACACTTAACCTTAATTAATTTAATATAGGTATAGTTCTTCATAACCCAACTCTCAATAAAATCAACAATCATTATGACTTACCTATATGAAAAGAGTTTAATCTAAAATGTTAATCCATTAGTCTAGTATTCTCATAAGATTGATATCTAAGTCTATCATGAGTATGAAACTTTCAATTATGTATCACTATTCCGTACTTAACTTTAATATGAGCACAAGTTATCTATGTCACTTTTATGTGTCACCAATTACAAACTTACAATTATGTTTTGTTAACTTTTGATTAATTATTATAATGTAACTTTAATTGACGTGTCAATTTGTAACTGGTGGCACATAAAAGTGACATAGAGAATTCACACAAACACAAACGTTCCTTTAATCTAACTTATATATAAATAAGTTGTTTTGTTTGAATATCTCTTATTTGATAAATTCTCTTGCAGTAAAAAAAATTATCTTTACTTTTCTCTTCTTCATCTTTCTTCTCTCATGAATGCCACTAGCAACCTAATACTCGACTCAAGCTAGAGAAACAACAAAAATTATAGTTTAAAGCGGTTTTATTGTAATTTTAATTGAAATTAAGATTATCCAATATGAAAATAAATTTTCTCAATGTCCTTACTAATTGAATAACCAAAGATAACGAAGAGAAACAAAAATAACACAAACAAAAAGGACAATGGTTGTTTACTTGGACGGGGATCACCTGTCCCGCACGGTGTCTTATTCTCTGTCCCGCACCAATGACATATTATCATATGAATAAAAGAAAATTTTAAAAAACAAAACGTAACATTCTTATTGGCTCGAGACAGAGATTGAGACACAGTTTGGGAGGGATCTCTATCATGCTTATTTAGTATTAATCGTCCAACCACATAGCACTAGGATGTTCATAGCATCCAACAAACAAAAAACATAAACTGATTGGATCATAGTCCAAATACATAAACATAGAGAAGTTATTAATCATCAAACACTTAACACATAAGGTTCTAGTCCTTCATGCAATTTAGTTTCCCCACCATTGGTGAACATAAACACCATTGCTTCTAAGACCCTTATAGATATCCATGCAACTTTCCTTGCTATTCATAGTTTTATCATCAACACTTCCATTTTCAGGGCACCTAAGAAACAATTCATCAACAAAGCATATAGCTCCACTCTCAAATACATCCTTCAGGAACTTCACTTCAATTTTCCCTGCATTCATTTTCAGAACTACAAAATCAGCATATTGCACAGTTTCTTTGAACCAAGCAAGGAAATCAAACTCATCCTCTCCCACATATGGATCCATGTCTTCATCGGAATCATGGTCGAGATTCGCATCGACCTTACCAGCCAACCCAGGGTAATAAACAAACATGACACCAGGTCTCTTCACATAGGACAGCATGATTGAAGTGTTGTAGTGAACAAAGTACACATTGAAATTCTTCTGATCAATGGGATAAGATGGCATGAACCAATCACTAACATTTGCATTCAGAAGTTCCCCTACCCCAATATCAATATACACAAGTCTCTTCCTAGCAGAAACATCAATAAACTTAGGCAAATAAGGAACACTTTTCTCAT